CTTTTATTATTGACTTTGGCAATGGAACATTCGGTGTGTTGTAATACATTACACAAGCAGAAAACACACTTAGTCCTGGGACGCCGAGGTGTTGTTCTGTGTACTCTCTTCGGTTTTAAGAACTTGGATCTGCGACTGAAATACTGAAATAAACTTAGACACGCACCATCGAAGAAAGAAACATAGGGACAGAACAGAAAGTGCGTCACTCACAACCAGCTTTATTCTCACAACATCGGTGACATATATTGCCGAGGCATATGCGCGGGCACATCGCCTCACATGATCGTCAAAAAAAAAAAAAACACGCGATAAGTATGACAAAACAATGAAGAAAAGGCCACTAAACGAGACAGAATTCTAAGAACTATAAGTTCATTGATGTGTGCGGTTTAACGTCTCAAAACCACCACACGATTATGAGAGACGCCGTATAGGAGGGCTCCGGAAATTTCGGCCACCTGGAGTTCTTTAACGCGCACCCAAATCTGAGCACACGGGCCTACAACAATTCGCCTCCATAGGAAATGCAGCCACCGCAGCTGGGATTCAATCCCGCGACCTGCGGGTGAGCATCCGAGTACCTTAGCCACTAGACCACAGTGGCGGGCACATATAAGTTCACCATCATGTAGAGCAACAGATGCATAACTAACACACCTATCCCTCTTCTTTTAGAAGTACTATGCTTTCGTGATTTCTCGTGCCGAGGTATCATTACTCTTTACAAGGACGGATACACGGAAAAACCCAGGCTCACACTTGCAGGAACCACCACGCACAAGGCGAATGTGCCAAAATTTTATTTTTCACAGAAATTTCAGGCTCCTGACTTCTGTCGTTCTATAGCACCGGCCTGTTTGGCCGATATATACCCCGCCCCATCTAAGCGGGATCTCGTACACCGCGCCAACCAAGCAGGCTAAATATTCTTGCGTGCCTCTTCCCATACGGGGAGGGCCTCGGTGCAGTCGATATTCGTGAACACAGGCTAGCCACCTTATGGACCCGTCACTATTATACTAATTGTATTGCGCAGTTTGACGTATCTGTGAAGTCTATTTCTAGTTCCATCGCAGACAGGCGTCCTAACACCCAACCGATTATGTTTAAAATGCGCACAAATATTAGTGCAATGAATGGTATGAAAACATAGCTAGACACGCAATATTTTCCGCACTATTCACTGTATACCCTTCACACTACGCTGTATACACTATTCACTGTATACCCTTCACATAATTTGTTCACAATACGTGAACAAATTATGTGAGGGAAGCATGACAGTAAGATTAAATAAGGAACAATCTCACGTTCTCTCTTCCTAATGCCTTATTTTTTTCAGGCGGACGAAAGAAGCCACACCTCACTTGTCGGACACGAACACTGGCAAACGGTACGCTATTCATAATTGCTGCGTAAGTACACAACTCTGTACGTTGTAACAACTGAAACTGCAGTCAGTGCGTATTTGAAAAACATTGAGAGTAAGAAAAAAAAACTCAGAAGCTCTCACCCTTTGGGGAAATATATGGACAAGTGAAGCGTGGCGTGTGCGTGTCTGGCCTAGCACAATTTTCTCTTTGTTTCTCCTTTTTTTATTTTGTTATTTTTTATCTTTCTTTCATTTTTGTCCTTTCTTCCTTTCTTCATCTCTCAAACTTTCATTCTGTCTTTTTTCTTCCTGTTCTACTTTCTCTTCCTCTTTTTCCTTTCTCTCTCTCGCTCTTACTTTTTTCATTTCTTTCCATCTATCTTGCTGTCTTTCTTTCTTTGAATTGCGCGGTCTCTCTCCAGACATGAAAGTGACCACCATCTACGCACTTAGCAGCGCAACACTGGGGTCGCTACGGACAACAATGATCGTCATGCGTTAATATCGATGCTACAATGAATTGCGTAAACGTGAACTGACGAGTCGCGCCGATAAAAGGTGAGATTTCTATATCAGACCCGACGGATCACCGACAAGCTCAAGTTATAGAAACAATAGGTTGTAGAAAAAAAAAAGGGCGCAAGTAAATACGTAGGTGATCGACCGACGCAGTTCAGAGGACCGCATTTTTCTGTCGCCGAGGTTGCCGGAAGTTTGCGTAACACGCCGGCATCTATGCATGAGCAATAAAAGCTTCGCTCAAAACGCTTGCACTGGGAAAATATCTTGTATAAGCGCAAGCTGTAGAGATCCAGAAGCGCTAATACACGCAAAGGTAACGCTTTGACAATCACTGAATTTTAGTTTGAATTAATCTAACGCTTTCACCACACGCTCAATACAGTTCTTTTTTTCTTACTCGTTTGTTGATTTATGTAACGCGAAGAGCTTGTTCTTATTTCAGCGCTTCTTCCCTCATTATCCGAGGGCTTGTCACATTACTTGTATGCACGATATGTCATGTTCTGCTACATACTAGCGTTTTTGTTGCATTGTCATTTCTCTGTATAGTTCCTCGAAAAGTTTTATTGTGTGTCTTGTCACACCTTTCCACAATGGTAATCGGTTTTAGCGCACCGATGGTCACTGCTCATTGTTTGTCCGTACAATTTGTTAGTTATTTTATGACATTGTCGACTAGTATATGTACCATGCCAACTTACAAAGAACGTGAAACGTAATAGAAAAGTTGCCGATAAATTTTGCTGGAACGTTTCAGTTACATCACATTATTCGGTCACAAACACCATTGCAAAAAAAGCGGAATACAAATGCTTCGATCATTATGATTAATATTATTATTAATCCAACAAGACTGCCTCCGAGCCGAGGTTATGCCTCGCGTTTCACGCTAGGACGATTGCATGTGTCTCTCCTAAAGATACACGACATCCTGCACGTTTGGAATAAGCAACCCGCAATTGTTGAGAGCTCCACATGATTGTTTGAAAGAACATTGTAGTCCTCCTTTGGATAACCACAGCAAACAATAGATGTCACTCATAATGTTTGATAGTTGTATCCCACCCCAAACACTATTTTCGATCCCATTGTGGCGCCTTTATACACATAAGCATGCAGAATAGCAAAAGAGAGTGTGCGGGTGGAGTAGTAAGTACTAACAGGGATGTAATAGTGGTTCGTAATGTACAATACAAAAAATTTAAAAATATACCTGAGGACTACTTCTGCTTTTCTTAAAATGTGGCTGTATCGAGTGCTATTTATTTTTAGGCGCTAAGCTCCTTAGGGTGTGGGTCCTTCCCTCCTCTGCAGTAGTAGTAGTAGTAGTAGTAGTAGTAGTAGTAGTAGTAGTAGTAGTAGTAGTAGTAGTAGTAGTAGTAGTATGTAGCCACCTCTTGTCAATAAGTTGAACAATAGATGGCGTCGTGTGTATATGTCCTTGAGAATAATAGAGCTAGTTGGCGTTAGTGGTTTTCACAGCACATTCACGGAGTGAATGATGATGAGCGAGGCGAAGCGTCTGTTTGCCGTTTGTCCATCCGTCCGTTTTTCGTCTATCCGTGCATTCATGCTTCTGTCCATCCGTTCATCCGTCCATCTATCCGTCCGTGCTTCCGTCCACCTTTTCATGCAACCATCCAAGCGTCCGCCCGTCCATGCGTCCACCCGTCTGTCTTTCTCTTCGTGCTTCCGTTTTTCCGTCTGCCCGTCCGTGTGGCCGTCCATCCGTGCGTACATCCCTCCGTGCTATCGTTCGTGCTTCCATACATCTGGCCGTCCGTGTATGCTTCTGTCCATCCGTGCGTCTGTTCGTCTGTCTGTCCGGACACACAGACAGATGCACGGACGGATGTTCACACAAACTCACGAATGGCTGAATACACGGATGGATGGACGGACGCTTTGCCGCACTCGTCATCATTCACTCCATGGATATGCTGCGATTTTTTTGCTCTACAGACACCAATAAAGACACCACATGAAAAGGAGTGTCCCGTGTTTAAAAAGATGTTGCTTTGTCGTTATTAAAAAATTTCGCGGTTAGACGTATTTCTGGCATCTCTACAGAAAAGCAGTTTCAAAAAAAAAAAACATCTTCCCAGTAGGAACCCTGATGGGATGCGGAGTAGCTGCAGTACGCACGGCGTTGACCTGGTTGAAACGGGCGTCGACGTGGGTGCTGGAACACTTCGAAGCGAAACTACGTGTATCGTTCACAGATAAACAAGCCGAACGAGTGTTTCCACTCGACGTGTAGTTGAGTGGTGCCGGCGGTGGATATGGTGAAGCGAGATATAACAGTATTGCAAACGGGTAGAAGAGCTGGCATCTGCGGGCGCTGCGGCAAGCGTGCTGTGGCTGAGGGAGAGACTGACGTCAGCGCGCATCTGCCAGGGAAGCGTGCAAGGGGAGCGTGACTTGAACTCGCAGCTACGGCGTGGCTTATTTGGCACCACTCCAACACCTGCTGCAAGGAAACCGCGTCACGGTGCGTTCGTACGGACGCACGTACGGACGGCGCTACCCGCGTAAATCAATAAACCTGTTTCACATCCAAAAAAACAAACGTGGCTGATCCCTCTTTCCAGGAATCAGTATAACACGAAACTGGAACGTGTCTTCACGGAGGTAGTGGAGAGTTTATTCTGCATTGTTTCGGCACAAGGGCGAAGGTATGAATGCTACTGTAACAAATTGCAGTCACACTAAAAACTGCAACCAACTCGAAACTTTTAGCACGCACCTCAAGCAAAACGGTTGCACAAATAGAGCATACACAGGACTAGCGCGGACTAACAGCCGCCACAGCTCGGCATATAAAGCGCAATCTGTCAGTATATAATCTGTCAGTAAAAGTGCAATCTGTCAGTATATATTTTGTGGCGCAAATGAGTCAGCAAAGCAATGGTAGATCTCGACATGAAACTATTTGTGGTTCAAATAAACCTCAAAAATGAAATAACACTGCTACACAGAGACTCAATGAACCAATCGTGAGTCCATGCTTGTATTACTAGTTATTGTGTGATTTCCTATTTAGAATACCAGCATTTCAAGATTCATCACAAGAAGGATACGAAGTGATAGTATACACAACACCATGAAGTGAGAATTCATAGAGTCTAAACCACGTCTATTTTTTGTTGCTGTGATCTACAGGATTGATGCTGTGGCCACACCACTGACGTTCGCGACTTATCTACTGGCAACGCACCAAGACGTGCAAGATAGACTCAGAGAAGAAGTTAGGAAAGCGATGACGAAAGATGTAAGTATTGTTGTACTAGTTTTCAGAGTAATGTTCACTTTAGTCAAATTTTAGCTGTCGTGGCTGCTGCGATAGTTAGTTGTCTTCGTGGCTGCCAATAAGGTTTTTCTCCACGCGGGAAATAGCAAGATTAGTTTTCATCGTTGCTTGACGAGGAAGAAAGTTCAGCATTGCGCAGATGCATTTCTGTTTCAATTCTACCTCAGCACCCAAAGCATGTGGTTTGCACATACCGGCTGAGTTTTTTGCACGTACCGGCTGAGACAGACAGACAGACAGACAGACAGACAGACAGACAGACAGACAGACAGACAGACAGACAGACAGACAGACAGACAGACAGACAGACAGACAGACAGACAGACAGACAGACAGACAGACAGACGGACAGACAGACAGACAGACAGACAGACAGACAGACAGACAGACAGACAGACAGACAGACAGACAGATGGACGGACAGATGGACGGACAGATGGACGGATGGACGGAAGGAAGCACAGATAGACGGATGGACGGAAGGAAGCACAGATAGACGGATGGACGGAAGGAAGCACAGATAGACGGATGGAAGCACGGACTGACAGACGGATGCACTGACGGACGGATGAACGGGCGCACGGATGGACGCATGGACGGACGCACGGACGGACAGACTCTTAGCCCCTATCATTATCATTCACTCTGTGGATATGCTGTGAATTTTTAAAAATGCTTTATAGGCAAAATGAAAGAGATGCAATTTCTTTTCTCTCCTTCTTCTAGGTGAGCAATACTGGCACGGATTTATTTAGAGGTTAATAAATGGAAAAATTATCTTTAAGACAGGGAGATACCTAACTTCATGACTTCATGCATTTTCTGAGAGCCGAACTGAAGCACAATGCATCTCCTCCACAGGGTGAAATAACTTATGAAAATATCTGTGGCATGGAATACCTCAGCCAAGTGATTTCTGAAACACTCCGGATGTATCCATCACTTCACGGGTAACTATGATTCACGAAATTTTGAGAGCATTGACGTAACTGGAAAGTAGCTTCAAATGAAAAAAAAATCACTTGGACCAGTGTTGATGGCGATGCCACAAAGATGAAGCACTATCGTCTTACCTGTTCATGAGGCCAAATCGACGCACATTTTATGAGCAGGGGCCGAAAAAAACATGGGGCACACCACCTGGTCCTTTCGTTCCCTCCACCCGCCTTTGTAAAGCGTGCGCTATGTTTCTCTACGGGACATGAGGTAGGCTTTCCTCCAGTGTTTAATATAAGCTTGTTACAGCATCCGCACTGTCGATGAGTATTCTGCAAGAAACCTGACAAAGATATTTCAGCGAAATTATTGTTTTTTTTTACTGCGAGGATTGGCACAGGTTTTTTAGTGCTGTAGCTTCATTCTTTGCATCCTCATGAAATGTGTTTAGAAAAAAAAATGCTCAACGATTTAGATTCCAATATATTAACAATGAGAGAGCACTAAGATGTCCTAGTAAAAAGATAATTCACAATCATTCGTGGACGGTATCGTTATGCCTTGCGTGAGTCAATTCAAATTCCAAAGGAGTGATATACGTCCACTGGGTCCGTTAACTTGCTCAGTTATCTGTTATTCCGAATTCCTACTGGGTTCAAAAAGCATTGATTCTGCTATGGTGACATTTTAAGGCAAGCGTAGATCTGTGAGTCACCATCGCCCGTTATGCTGCATAACAAAGATCTTCAAGCCCCAGCACCAAGCCCTGCAAAAGTTGGCCTGATGGCATTGTAAGGACGTATTATTTCAGGCAAGGAGCTCGCCTCTTAAGAGCGAGAGGGTGGCGAAGGGGAAACTGCGGAATGATGATACACGTGACAATTGCGTGGGTGTGGGGTATAGCTTTTTTGGGGAGACAAAGATAGAAATAAAATAAAGGGAAATGCTGTAAGGCTAACCTGGTAGAAGTAGCTAGTTGCTACCCTGCCCGGACATGTGGAAATAGCAGTTGCAAAGAAGAAAGAGAGAAATAAACAATAAAACCCACACACGTGCAAACGCGCGCACGCACGCACGCACACACCCTCACACACAGGGCGTGTAGGTCAGTTGAATTTTCAATGCAACTAAATGCACTGCTACTTGCGTTGTTATTTCTAACACAGAAGCGTGATCAAAATATGACATCATACATAAACAACGCAGAAAAAGCCAGCTGCGTAACCTAAAGCAATCATGAAGAGCGAGAAAAAGAGGGGGGGGGGTAGGGGGTATTGTTTCGTATGGCCTAGCAGGCAATGATATCTTTGTTTTTAGCGAAGCCGAAATGTTTTGACTCGTTTGTGTTCTGACAGCGCGGAGGAGAGAGAGCGAGAAAGCGTAACATCACTATGCGATCAGGCTTAAACCCATAGAATGGTGGCCTCTTCACTCCAGGTATATATCCATGGTTTGCTTCTGCCCCCTTGGTTATGTCCATCAACCATAATATTTTTAAGGCCTTGAGTCAGCAGCAAAGCCTCTCTGTTTTTCTGATTGTTTCTGTTATGGGCCTGCTTTGTTCAGTCCGCTAGCTTCTCATCTGATGGCTATTGCTCATCATGCAATGTCACGCATCGAGACCCTTCAGATGTGATGAACAAGCAAACAAAGATAGATGTTGCTGATTTAAGTGCTACCTGTAGGCTAGTCTTGCACCACAGCACATCTTGGAGCAGTGATAAAGGCTTTTATGGCAGACATAACTTGTAGTTCTGCCAAGAAAAAAACAATAAAAAAACAAGAAAAAACAGAGTATTTTACAAAATGGAGCCTTTACGCTATTTTATCTTTTTTTCAGGTTCGTACAGAGGGTTTGTGACGTAGACTACGAATACAAGGGCAAGGTCTTCCCCAAAGAAACGGTGATTGGAGTTCCTGTGATGAGGATGCATTACGATCCAAGGTTCTGGAATGAGCCGGAGAAGTTTGATCCTGAGAGGTACAGTATTGTTCGAATCAAAGGGGCAACCGTAACCTTTATTAGCGATATATCAACTTAGTTGTTGATGCACGGTCATTTCGTCACTTAGAGCACAACAAGTGACTATGCCTAAGTTGCAAAGGTCTGCCATTATAGCAGCTTTAATAATGATAACCACTGACATAAAGTTTGTTAAACCTATGCAGTGAAAAAAATTTCGCTAAACACAATCACTTCCAAGAACATCACGATTACCGATGAGGAGGAGGAAGGAAGCACGAAAGACAGGAGGTGTTGATTACCAAAATTATACTATTGAAGTATAATAAAAGAATTATGAAGAGCACAGAAGAACGTGTAACACGTATACACAGATTGCAGCTATTGTGCTGCGAATCAGCACTATGGCGGCAATCTGTGTATATTGCCGTGTTTCATTGTGTTTCATTGTGCTGCGTTCGCCACACAATGAAATCGGTGGGATCAAATCGACGTCATGAAATCGGTAGGATGCAAAGCAGCAGCGTTGGGCACGGGTGACGTCACAACTCGAACGGTGCTAACTTGGGTGCTGCGGTGAGCACTGGAAGTTCGTTTAAAGCGGTAGCTGGGGTAGGTCTTCTAAGCGACACGTACAGACAAGTTTAAACGCGTACGTTAAGCGCACGTCAGGTTCATTGCGCGTAAACCGACCAGTAGGCGTAGTAGCGAAGTGTTGCGGACAGACGAGTGAGGCAGCAGCTGTGGGCGCTGCGGTAAGCGTATGACAGGCGGGAGTGAGAGTGACGTCAGCGCGCACTGCGAAAACAGTGTGACGTCAACGCGCAGAAGTCGTGTCACCTACTTGGCACCGCACCAGCACCTGCAGGTCACGGCACGTTGTACGGAGGGACAGCGTTACACAGGGGTAGCCCAAGAGCAGCTTCGCATCTAAAGATTAGGCAGAACTAATGTTTAAAGGTTTACCAGCGGATTCCCCAGGTTTTCCTATATATTTCTTATGCGATGCTAGTGCATTCAGGTGTTTCGCAAATAATTAATGTTATGGTGTGTGCCACAGTTGCCCTCGACACATCTCGACAGTGCCATTGCTACAACGGGTAAGCAAAGTGAAATGTGGGGTCACCTAAGGTGCACAATGTAGTAACGAATTCTCCCCGAAAGATGAATAAAATGCTCATCTGACTCACTTTTTGTTGTGCCCCTTTGTACTGCAGGAGATTTCTGTGAACAAAAAGAACTGAAAACGACATTATTGGTATTGAAAGAGATATGAATCTGTGATTTAATTCAGAATTACAGATAACAGGTCTATAATTAGGTACTCAGTGATAACATTTCTGTAACTTAAATATCTCACCTTCAGTAAGCGTTCAGAGGCACCGCTGGCACACGCTAACTAAAAAAAGTTATTTTCGTTGATTTAACGTATCTTTTCAGGCATGGTAGGGTGTTATTGTACGGGGCCAATGTTTAATCTATGTTGGTAGCTGCATTGACACCTCTACGTATTAATCCCTATAGTTTCGCTAATTAATATTAAAATGTAGTTATTGTGCATCATGAAACTTTTCAGTGGCGCGTAAGTGTTCATCACCATGTCCTAACTAACTGAGGGTGGCTTTATTTACGTGTTGGCTGAATTAACCCACAACATAGCCAATGCAATTAACGAGGACAGTCAATTAGAGGTCGTTTTTTAGACTTTTCTAAAACGTTAAATTTCTTTCCCACGAGGATTTATTAGGAAAAGTATCGGCCTTTGGTATTGATGATAAAATAGCTGCAGCGTGGAATAACAGTTTTTTAACCAAACAAAAACAGAGTGACAATCGACAACCATCTATTGCAACCGCTTGATGTTTACTCTGGAGCACTTCAGGGATCGGTACTTGTCCCACTTTTGTCTTTAATGTTTATTAACGACATTCAATTTTCTGCTAATGATCTTGTTCAAATGCGACTATTCGTAGCCTACTGTGTCGTGTACACAGTCGTACACTATTAAAACGATCAAGTCAACCTGAACAACTCATTGCAAATGATCTATTCCTGGTGCGACACTTGGGACATGAAGGTAAACACAACCAAAGCTCACTTCATTTAAATTCACAAATAGAACCAACCCCCTTAACTTTACATATACTACAGGAAACACAATTATCGACAAAAGCGATCAGGTAAAATAACCTTAGGCGTTACTTTCTCATCGAACTTTAACTGGGAACCACATGTTTTAGCCATGTGTCGTAAGGCGGAGAGGAAGCCAGCCTTTCTGAGGAGAAAATTGCGCACTGCACCATCACACCTTAAACTTAATGCATACAAAACACAAATTATACCATGTTTAGAGTACGCCGATCTCATCTGGAGTCCACATCAAAAGCACATCATTAATAAAATAGAAAGAATACAAAAATTGGAAGTTAGATTTGTATATTTGAACTTCTCGAGGCAATCCAGTTCTGCAGGCTTGCTCGCAAGGGCAAACTTAAAACCTCTTTCGCAACGCAGAATTATCTCGCGACTAAAATTTCTTTACAAATTATATCATGGTCAATTTCGCATATCACGATCTCATTACCTGCCAGACCCGCCCAAACACTCATCGCGACTGAACCATTCCAAAACTATCCACCAACCTTTCAGTCATGTTAACGGTCACAAATATTCTCTTTTGCCGTCAGCTATCCGCTATTAGAATAGACTAGACAACAATATTGTGTCTTTAACACCATTCAGTCATTTATCAACATAATGCAGTGTGTCCATTTTGAATCATGAGCTGTTTGACATTGTATCTTCTTTCTTGTTATTCAGATATTTATTTTCTTTCGATGCTTAGTATATATTTTCTTGTCTCCACTCCTGCATGGGCCGTGAAAAGCCTGCAGTATGTTGAAATAAAAACAAAAAATTTTTTTACTTAGGCTGGAATATAAGTCTTGCATGATGCTGTGCTCAATTTGCAAAAGGTACTGCTGCCCTACCTGGATGTTTGCATTGCATCTGAACAACGCAACTAATATGCACCTCTTTGCTCATGCTGTTTTCCCTTTTTCTGTAAACTATTCTGTAGTCACCGCTATTGTTTGTTAACCGCAATGAGTGCGACCGCCCTCCTCACGCTCATGTATTGCGAGACAGATCACTATACGTAAGAGTAAATAATGTTTCATTTAGCGATAGCAGTATACCAATACAAGCTCCTGGCCCTCATCACTTTTTTACGCAGGTTCAGTAGTGAAAACAAGCACAAGATAAACCCAATGGCGTACTTACCTTTCGGTGCTGGCCCCAGAAACTGCATCGCATCGCGGTATTCGGAGCTCCTGATGAGGGTCACCTTGGCCACGCTTGTCTCCTCGCACAAACTTCTGCCAAGTGAAAGTGAACCGAAGGTGACCCTCTTTTAAGTCATCGGTATTTCCTATACAATGCTAGTGCATTCGAGTGTTTTGCAATAAATTAATGTTAAGGTGTGCGCCACAGTTGCTTTCGACACTTCTCGACAGCACCATTGCGACAGCCGGTGAGCGAACGTGCAGGCTGAGCGGCCATGGTGCCACGCATGGGTGTAACCTCGTGGCTCAAGACTTAGTGTGTCTAAAGAAGTACACAACCGAAGAACGTGGCTGCAGTAAACGACTACAGATTATGCGCACTAGCGGCAAAAGTATCCTGTGTGACAGAAATGTTGCTATAATAATCGCATAAACATTGATATAAGTGTAAAAGTTGTTTGTAGCTTAATTTTTGGGTTTACTTTTCATAAAACAATATTTCGTTCAGAATAACAATTGAACTTTTATGCTTCGTGCTGAACAATCTTGGTTCAGCTGTTGTTGAAATATCGCAAATGTATCATTAAACTTGAATCAATACTTGTCGCAGTTGCCTAATTTACTTGAGAAAAAAAAAGGCCGAAATGAGTAATGGGAAAGCCGTCGCATGGTCTGCCGGCGGATGCAGAAAAAAAGTTGGTCAAAAATGGTTACGACGTGGTGCTTGCTCCTTCCTCTACGACATGCAGCAACCCTTCGGGAATGACTGTTGTTGACAACCTCCGAAAGAAAGCCAAAAAAGTTTTCAATAACACCACATATACAGCAGCCAGCATTACCCCATAACAAGTTAGGCTTTCTTATTTTTAATGTATGATTGAGTGAGACTACCACCTACCGCGTATAATGAAATGATTAGAACAGTAAGATGAGAAAATGTTGCGAAAATCAGAATGGCAGGGGAGTGGTTGGAGTATTGCGATTGTGGTTTGCTGCTGGCCTCTGTCCGATAGATGTAGAGGGAGGAAGGGGGGAGAGGGCTGGGAGCTTTACATCTACCTCACCGCCCCTCCTCCAGTAGAAAAAGGAGTAATAGCTATATTACTCCTCCTTGCTGATTTATAGAAAAATCTAAGATGCCCTAGATACGCCTCCTATCATGTCAACTTCCAGTTATCAAAGATAGCAAAGATTATGAGAAAAATTATAGCATTAAGATTATGAGAAAAAAAAATCTTGGCAGTGAAATAATAATGAAACCCTTTTTTACAGACAACGGGAAGTTTCCGAGCAAGTTTCATACTCCTGGTTCCCGACAAGGGAATATGGTTGCGCGTGGAGAAACTGTCACCACTGTGAGGCTGCCTATTACAAGCCCTTTTTCACTCTTCAATTCTGGACATTACATCAATGATCACTCACTGGTGCTGGCCGGCTCTGCGCAACAAAGCGACGCCCTTGTACAGTGGTGCTGCTTTAGACGGGTGGAGCAAAGTCAAAAGCTTGTTCTACCTACCACTGACTCTGAGGCAAGCGATGCGTTTTACGCATTAAAAAGAAACGATGCCCTTTGGGCTGAATACATCAGAGGTTACCAAAAAGCTATATACCATCTCAGGCTTGTGCATTTATTGCAGACAAATAAAGCAAAATTTTTTTATCTGTGACTAACTGCCACAGATTTGCTTTTATCTTAACTCAAAGCTTGTGTTTATTGTATTTTTCTACCGATTATCTATTTGGAGAGGCTTTCAGACATTCAGTCTCAACGAAATCCAGCAACTGAAACGCGAATTTGGTAAGACGTGTATCTAGCTTTTGATGAGATATGCGGAGAAATAACACATGTGGTTGGGTCGAACAAACTGCGAGTTTCATTCTTCAACTTGCTAACGTGCAAGTGAAGTGAGTTCAGCCCAGGGTGGTTAAAAACAAAAGAATGTAAACAATCAAAACAGTTGTAAATATGTATCCAACTCATAACCTATGTTCATTTATTGACCTAATGAGGCACTCTTTTTCGTTGCACAAACTTAGGATATATTTCGAGCATTTCAAACTGTTACAGTTTTCCATGTAGCTCACCTTCTCGTCAGTACTTACTCATAATCTCGGCGCAAAACGAGAAAAATATGACCCTGTTGGATGGCGCAGTTCAAAATAGCGTTACTCTTTTCAAAATGAAACGTTCTGCAAACCTTGGCTACTTTTTTCACTGGGCATAGGAATAGTGTTACGGTCTGTGTTTCTCAACTTATGAATAGGACTTCGACCGATCAACCAAATAATGACAGATGAATCAAACTTCGTAAACCTGTCACTTGATAAAATGGTAGCTCGCGATAGTTGATGATTTAGCATGACACATTCGTACAGTGCAAGTTATAAACGGTTGATGAAAGGACACAACGCGGTCACTGTATTGTGCCAGTGCTCTGTCCTCTCATCCGCTGTAGCTCTTGCTTGCGCTCTGCAAGTATGCCTATGGTAAAAGAACATGTCTCCTTGGATAAAAGATATTGAATGATATGTGAGGTTAGAGGTTAACATCCCAACACCACCATATGACTATGAGGGACGCCGTAGTGGAGGGCTCTGCAGGTTTCGACCACCTAGGGCTTTTTAACATGCACGCAAATCTGAGTACACGCGTCTACAGCATTTTCGCCTTCATAGAAAATGCAGCCGCTGAAGCCGGAATTTGATGCCGCGACCTGCGGATCAGCAGCTGAGTACCTTAGCCACTGGACCACTACGGCGGGACCCTTGCGTACGGAAACATCATGCTCTAAGCAGTAGGCATATGCACACGCGTAATATTCTACAACACAGTACAAACACGGACACAAGAAAGAGGTCAAGACACCACAACCACCGGGAAGTCTGCTCTCGGTCTTTCTCGTTTGCTTTGACTTGCCAGTAGGTTGTCTTGAGGTCCACCGACGAAAACTACTTCGTGTGTCTGTGTTTTCCCAACCTGTCTTTTAGAAGGCAGGGTGGCAAAACAAATGCACGAGGTAGGTGGAACGATGAAATGTAGGTAGGTGGAACGATCAGATGAAAAATTACGCTGGTGTAACGTGGCAGCAGAAAGCGCAAGAGCGGGTTGATTGGCGGATCACCGGAGAGGCCTTTGCCATGCAGTAGGCGTAGTCACGCTGATGATACAGATGATGTCTTTTAGAATAAATACTAACCAACTAGCTAAGCACTTTTAATCTAAGCATGCACGCAGTTCTTGATTGGGTAGTGGGTAAAGAGCAGTTTCACCTCAGCCTCTTCTGCCTTTTCCTACTGGTTGACTTCGTAAGAAAACAAGCTTTGTAATGAGTACTAAATCAAAATGAAGCAATGACGTGCTTCCCGAAGGGGCCTGTCTTCAGTACACAGCTTTCCTTGTGGAAGCGTGCGAAGCAAGGTGTTCTTATAGTATCTTCGACTGGTCTCCTCTGCCCTCCGGCTCAGAGGAGAACGGATCTGGCATTGCTCGCACTCTGAGGCAGAGCACAAACGGTCGAGATGGACGTCACACTCACTGCCGGAGGAAAACTGGACCAGAAGGAACCAGGTGCCTGCAGTGAAAATCCATTTTCTAGTAAAAGCCACGTTGAAGTCAAGCTGACGCTTCCCACGCTCACACAAAATGGCCGAAGCGCTCATGAAACAAACCGTCAATATGAAAGTTAAAACGTACTCAGCTGGGCGAATTCCTGGTCGCAGGCACGGCTTATGTCGTCATCACAGTCGTATCTTTCGCTGCTAGTATCTGAGTGGGTTTTCAAGGGAGATGGCATTAAATCACTACTCGCAGACAAACTGGGCAGATATCACTGCCAGACGGCGTGATCACTTTATATGACGCCGCCATGACCCATAACAACCACTCTGCTTGTAATTACCTGATCTGAAACGCGCACACTGCTCCATTGAAAGGAGTTGGAACAGCTAAGAGTGCTCAACGATATAGGAAAGCGATCGAGAAGAACCAGCCGAACGTGGCGTGAGCGCTTTCTTTGAACTAGCCGAATACAATGCCGCTGACGAGAGCTCTCCGACACAACCAGTTCAAGATAGCAATAGAGTACAACATAGCGGGTGCTCGCCACCATTACGGTCAGGAATCTACCAACACCGTAACCCTCGTGGACAGCCAAGCAATCTGGTCGGGACGCCCAAGGTAATGGAGCGAAAAAAATTACGCCATCTCTCGCTGAAGGGAGCCATGTGTAGATACGAAGCAGCGGGCGCTAACGCTTACACTGTCAGATATTTTGGCGCTCGCGCTCATATTGGCGTTGCACAGCAAAAAAACCTGGGGAAGCGCAAAGCACGCAGTGATGAAGCGGTGTTTCCTACTTGAGCTTGCCAGTCACTTCTTATGGGCAGTTAGAGCCTGAAGACCCTGACTGATCAAGGAGACCCGCAGCCCGCTTTTAGTTAAAGCGCACGCTGCAAATCTTTCTTGTTGAACAACGCACAGGAGAAGTATCCCATCGGCACTACCTTGTAGGTCAAGATCCAGTGCCTATATATGCGGGGTGGCTAGTTAAAGGTTCTGCAGCAGGAGCACGTGTTTTTCCCAATCATGAAACTCGCTAGCAAACGCTGGCTGCGTCGGCTTTGCGAGGCGAAAGAGTTGGAGCGTAGGAGAGGAGAGATAGGAAGAGGCAACACGCCTGCGCGTTGGCAGTATGAATGCCGTGGGAAGGAATGCCTCGAGGAGAGGAGGAATGCCAAATCCAACGCTCCTTGTGCCTGAGTTGCAAAGTGAGAGAGGGGGGTGCGTAGCATATGGGAGGGGACGCGCATGCGGAATGGGAGTGTAAATGCGGCTGGGTGAGACGCCTAGAAGATAGAGAGGCGGAGCGAGCGCAAGCAGGTAATAGGAGAGAAGTGGAGAGAGTAGTAACACGCAAGCTGTTCGTGAGGGGAAGGAGGCGAGTTGCGCAAGCGTAGTGGAGTGTGGACGCCGACGCCACAAGACATAGACCCGAGCAAAATATGCTTCGTATCCTAAAACCAGATTGTCTTTTTGAACTACTCCAAAGCTAGTTGCTTTGAGTGGGACACTCTTTTTATTAGAAATTCTCGGCCCAAAAAAAACCGTTGAGAGTGACAAAAACAGAAGGCAAAGAACCATTGCACCAGAGCAAATACGATTATTTTGTGCTACGAAACAAAGCTTTCGTGTAGCATGTGGCAAGCGCTGCCTTACAGAACTCAGTGCTGAAGTTGACCATTGCCGCTGGAAAGCGCCTATACCGCGAGCAGTCTACGCTAAGGCGATGTAGTTATTAAGCTAGAGAGTTGTGAATTCCATCGGAGAATAAGGAGTCAGATGCTCTTTGTTTCCTATTCAAGAGAAATGAAGAAAAAATAGAAGTTCTGATGGGCTTAATATGACTCAGTGAGCACTGAACAAGCAAAAAAAAAAAAAGGTTACAATGTGCTACCAAAACTATTGTTCCTTCCAATTTTACCTACAGGGCTAAGATTGTGCATGGTAGGGTACGTGAAGGTACAAAAAGCACGCTATGATCAGCGTTGGGCAATCATCGGCGCATTTTTTGGCGAATACAATCAGAACAGCTGTGCCTATTCACGCGTACATAGCGCTATTTAAAAATGGCTATAGAGCTTGTGCTTAAGCTGGTGTCTAAATCTACATTTTAAAAAATGGTCTACATTGTATTTCTCGCAGTATAAGCTGTATTTGCAGTTAAACAAGGACCACGAAAAAAAATGTTGCCATGATCGAAGTGGTTGAACTGGATATCACGACGTTTAAACCAACAGGAAACGGAGAAGAAAAAAAAAGAGGTGCATGAACGTGAAGTGCATACGTTGCAAGCGAAGAAGCTCACGTATGTTCACGTGCGGTATCTATGCCTTAATTCATTAGGAACGAATTCATTGTGCCATTCGTGCAAAGTATGTGTGGTCGTATGATGACATATTTGCGACCAGTTATTGTCCTACAAGTGAAGAATAAAAATAACATGGTAAAACAAGAGAATGGTTCTTTACAACAAATGAAATCACGTTCGTAAACTTGAAACACTTTGAGATACGCAAGTACTGGATCCCCATATTGATGCCCACTTGACTAAGACATCTGACAGAACCCACTGGGCGAAGCAATGAACACGTGCACTAAAGGACCGACGTGTTGTCCTTTTGTGTTCGTGTTGTCGTCTCCCCTAGTGTGCGCTGCTGGATTTCGTAATAATGAACCAACTGGCCTCCAAGCACATTTTAGGTACGTTTACTTTCCCAGCCACGGACCGAGCGACACAGCTACAAGGAAATTAGAACAGAAGTGCCCAACTTCGACGCTTGCACAAAAAGTCAGTAAAGTC